ATTGAAACACTGATCCAACATTATTCTTGATTGACGGATCATTTGATTTACACTTTTACCTGAATGTGGCTCCTTTTTTTGAAAAAAACTTCCTTGTATTCCTTCGTTTTGTCTTTTGATGAAACGTACATGGAAATGTTAAGTTTCGTTTTTCATTCGTGACCTATAAATACAGTAAGTGTGTCGCTCTGACCGTGTCAGTGGAGTGTTAGGGTCATGGAAGCAGTACCACAAGAACAACGGAGAAAGCGGAACTCCGTAAAAAGGCGTGTCGCTCTGACCGTGTCAGTGGAGTGTTAGGGTCATGGAAGCAGTACCACAAGAACAACGGAGAAAGCGGAACTCCGTAAAAAGGCGTGTCGGTGAGTATTTTAATACACGTATTACTTTAAAATAACGATACTCATGTGTTTAATGGTGTGGCGGTGCCATGATGATAGCAAATGTTGGTGCTGATGTGAGCTTTGATGTTGTGTTTCAGGGACGATCGTTGCTGTTGCAGGGGGAGCAGGTAAGGCTTTGGACGGTCTGTGTGGTCACCGGGGTTCAACCTACCCACGGTATCTCTCTGTTATGTTGATCCACTACCCTTTACCGCAGTCAGGAGAAGCGGTCACACAAAGCTGGGTGTCGGCTTGATAAGCTAACCCAGGGCTTGATTGGGGCTGACGCTTGACAGGGATTGTTTTTGGCAGCATGTAAACAATTTACCACCAACAGGGAAAAGAAAAATGTCAAGGAATAAAGTGAACTGTAAGAATATAGATTTATTACAGATGCTCCTAAGGGAAAGCACCAAAACTTTAGAGGTCTGAGGGATCTTCTAGTGACGCTATTTTCAGAAAACTGAGTAGTTAGCAGGCGTTGTTTCATACCTGCTGATCGTTAATCATAACTTGAACCCTGTGTGTGCCATTGTAACTTATGCTCTCAAATGAAATATAGAGATCGGTATGCATGAAATCACCACCTCCTGACCAATACATCATCCAGACACTGTTCATAGAAAGTCCCTCAGACCTCTGTGTGTGGACAGTAGGAGGATCTAATGTTTTTGTGTCCGTTTTTCCCTGATGTTATTAATAAATCTAGATCTTTAGATACAACTTTATTGCTTCCAACAGGAAAAATTACATTATTATTGTTGCAATAATACATGATTGTGAAACAGGACAGAAACTTGTACTTGCTGACCTCAGACTGACCTTAATTATAATCATCAGGTTCTCCTGTGCCTCACAAACAGAACTGTGATATTGAATCTATAAACTTACACAGCTTTCCTGCCTTCAAATAGGCCAGACTTTATTAATATAATGTGTATTTTCCAGTCATGCTGTCCAAAGTGCTTAGAGGGCACAAACATTCATACAACACTTTTAATACTAAACTACTGTAAAGTACTTTTTTTCGTCTAACACACTCTCATACTCTGCTGTGTTCAGTATCTGTATAATGTTTTTAACCTCTTCATATTTTTAGTATAGTTTTCTCTTTCTTTGTAAAATCAGCCCTTGAGCTGCCAGCACGCTTACACTTCCCAACAGCACCAGCCTTTTTACGTGAGCGAGCAGGGCAAACCCTGGATAAACTCAGTTTCTTTGGTAACAGCTTCATGTGACCACTTATCTGGATCGAGTCCAGATAAGTGAAAGATACCAGCAACCTTATTTTAACATTTAAAGCGAGCCCAGGATAAGATGTAATCCTGCCTTGTACCTCAGGCCTCTGCCTATATAAAAACCTTTTACATGGCATATCATTTGTAACAGTCACACTGATGCTGGTGTTCTCGTCCATGTGCAGTAGGTGCAGTGGCCTTGGCTCCTGTTGCTCTGGGAGCCGTAGGTTTCACCTCAGCTGGAATAACTGCAGGCTCCTACGCTGCAAGCATGATGTCTGCTGCTGCGGTGGCTAATGGAGGCGGAGTGGCAGCAGGAAGTATGGTGGCTGTTTTACAGTCAGCAGGTAGGCTTGTTGTCTAACTTTACTGTCCTCTCATTAATAGTGCTGTACACATTCACTTTATTAGGAACCAAAGCAAAGGTGACCTTTGCTCCTGTTGTGGTGACCAGTATATGGCTCGTAAAACTCTGGCTACTCAGGGACTGAAATACAAATAACTGATAACATATTTACAAATGAACACACTGATTCAGCCTAAAGT